GAAAAAACTGTAAACCTAGGTATGTATCTATGTATGTACATATGTTTTGTGGCATTTTTATTTCAGATGTCATGCGCTTAGTTCACAAAACAAAAGTAAACAAAAAAACTAAACAAGCACATTTATATAAGTTTATTTACTTAAAAGGGTGGGGGGTGGGAGGTTGTGACCTGGATTCATATAAATGCCTAAAAGGCAAGTTTGATGTAGATGGACCCCATAGCCTTATTGTTCAAGGTACTACATGCTGTTCATGTTGTTCAGGAAATTTGACACATCCTAGACTGAGTTGTGGCCAGGGAAGTAAAGCTGATCTAATGGGGCATAGAAACTGATCTTTGCCCTCATATGTCAGCTTTAGCTGCCTATCCATAACTGTGCATGTTGCTCCAAATTAGTTAGTTCATTCTTTTTCCTCTGTACTGTACACCGGAATTGCCCTATCATTTATATAACATGATTTCTGGCATCTGTCCCAATATATGTTGTATATTAGGACTTGCCTACATCAAGGACCATCTGGAGGAAGAACGTTCACATCAGTCACCAGCCAATGGATCGAGTGCTTCAGATGACGATGACTTCTTTTCAAGCATGAAAAAAACTCATGGGCAGGAAAGTGTTAAACGGCTAGAAGGGTACCTTGCCTCTAAAGTAGACAATAAAGAGATACTGCAATCTTATCCTGCGGTTTGCAAATTGTCTCTTAAAATCAACACTGCCTTACCAGCTTCTGCTGCATGCGAACGTCTCTTTAGCACTGCTGGATTGATTTTCAGCCCAAGAAGGGCAAGATTGGATGCCAGAAATTTTGAAAATCAGCTCCTTCTCAAACTAAACAAAAAATATTTTAGCTTTAGGTAGGTCATACAGTTAACAGTGCTATTTCTGTTATTCTTCTGTTATAGCACATCACTACTAGTTAGTAGTTCTACATACTACGTAAGTCTTCAGGGAAATCTGGTGGTGTGTTAGTTTCTGTTTTTGTGTGATTTATGCAAACACTAACATTTGTTTATAGAGTGGACATACAGTGTGTTGTAAGGAATCATGTTTTGTAAATTGGAAAAAAGACATCCTTTGTAAACCTTTGTAAACTTGAGTAAATCCATTTTTGCAAGTTATTGCACAGCTCAGCTGTGATGTAGTAAAGGAGCAAGGTGCCATGTGATAAAGGAATAAGATTTCTACATTACTTCAAACAATAAATTGTTAAAGAAATACGTGTCTAATGTGGTTTCCCCCCACCCTATTTATTCCTAATCATGTGGTTTCCATTTAGTAGGATGTGCTTATGATAATTTCAAAAGATATCAGTACCAGATATCACAAATAGAAAACATTGTATTTTCAGAGTGGTGTTAGCGGGCTTTTTTTTTTTTTTTTTTCCTTGTATGACTTGATTGAGTGTATAAAGGACATGACAAGACATTGGAACTACATTACACCAAATTACTTTTACTTTTGATACTTAAGTACATTTGTCTCTTTAGCACTGCTGGACTGATTTTCAGCCCAAGAAGGGCAAGATTGGATGCCAGAAATTTTGAAAATCAAAACTTCTCAAACTACTACAGGTGTGGGGACACCTATCTCATCAATATTCATTGTGTAGGCCACTGACTTTGAAAAAAAGTGTCACTCCTAAGTTCTAACACCTTAGTAATCAAAGCACATAAAGTTTCAAAATGTCTCATTCATCTATGTGTAGTCAACCCCTGTGTATCTATAAGCTTCAGAGCTCAAAAGTCTTGGCTAGAAATGGTCATAATGTGATTTTTAACAATTTCTCAGCATGTTTGAAAATAGGTTTTTGAAAAGTATATGTTTAACCCTCTGGGGTCGAGTGCATCGTCGGCGACGCAGCGTACTTTTCGCGTCTATTACAGTTTATATCTCGCTGAAATTTTAATGTAGAATCATGAAAAAAAACGCTGGCTAAATCCGTAATCTGTCGTCTTTTCAAAACGTCTATTGTTGGAAGTATTAAAGTTTTTAAAATTAGATTAAATCAGCAAAAAAGTAAACCATGTCACCTTACTTTGTTTTACCTACTTTGGGGGCGTGTAGTACCGCTTTCATCCAAAGATCGCTATTCACATTCTAAATAGCCGCATTAGCACGTATTCAAATCACATTCGCATGATAATTTGATAAACAGCGCAACGGTGAAACGCGATCCAGATACAGTGCCATCAGCACCATAAAAGGGGGGTAGGGACGTGGCCAGGTGACAATGGCTCATTCATACACATGAAAGTTGCTACATATTCAATGAAAGGAGCCAGAAATAGTGGCATGAGTTAGCTTTTTCTTATTTATTTATCCAACTGAATGTTGTAACTACACCATTTAGTCATCTTCATGTAACCAAGACTTTGGTGATCAGATATCTGGGATCAAAACAAACTGCAAGCATTGCTTACTATGTACTTTTATTATCTTTCTGCAAGTGTTCCAAACTGCATTTTGCAATATGTATACTTTGATGTCAAATTACAAACTTAACAAAAATCTGACATATTTACAATATACATTAAAATAAAGATGAGTGTAATGCAAAACAAAGATATAAGAAATAATTTATTTGCCATGAATTAAGTTTATGATATTTGAAGAAATGTGTGATCATGCCCCAGTCGGTGAAAGTGTGTTCCCTACCACTAGACCCCAGAGGGTTAAAGTTGATTTTGACAAAAAATAGAATAATAACATTCTACGTGGTCTTAGATTATTGGTTCTGAGTTTGTGCTGAATAAAAGCACATGTAACACTTTAGGATAAATGTTTTTTAGATAGGTGAAATATTTAAAAATGTCAAGGCATGTCAGACTACCCCGAAAGTGGCTGAGAGGCCTGAGGGTTAAGCAGGAGCCATTTGTGAGGGACAACGTCAAAGGCCTTCTGGAAATCTAAGTAGATCACATAATAGGCCTTTTTCTCTTGCAGCTTCCTCAAAGAATTCAAGTAGATTAGTTAAACAGGATCTACCTAATCCACGTTAGCTATTCCTCAGAATGTTATTTGAATCCAGGTATTCTACCAGTTTTGCTTGGATTATAGCTTCCATTACTTTTCCAGTTATATTCATGTTAAACTAACTGGCCTAAAGTTTGCAGGACTATTTGTATTACCTTCTCTGAATATGAGCATTATATTAGCATGCTTCCAATCAGAAAGTACCACAACAGCAGATAAGGATCTCTGAAATGGTAAAGTTAAAGGTCGGCAAATAATATTCATCATTGCCTTTAAAACTATAGGTAAGATGCCATCAGAGCCCTGCAATTTATTTATGTTGAGCTTAGCTAGGCTTTGTCGCACATCAGCTTCAGTTATAAATATACTGTGCAAAAAATTAAAGGAACACTTTGAAAACACTACAGATCTCAATGGGAAAAAATCATGCTGGATATCTATACTGATATGGACTGGGTAATGTTGGGAATGAAAGGATGTCACATTGTTTGATGGAAATGAAATTTATCAACCTACAGAGGGTTGAATTCAAAAACACCCCAAAAATCAAAGTGAAAAACTGATGCAGCAGGCTAGTCCATTTTGCCGAAATTTCATTGCAGCAATTCAGTAGTTTGTATGGCCTCCAAGTGCTTGTATGCATGCCTGATGTCGGGGCATGCTCCTAATAAGACGATGGATGGTGTGAGACAATGCAATGTTGTGAAAATGCTCTATAAAAATAAAATTTAATTAAAACTGAAAAAATACCAGCTCTGTCCATCATTTTCCGCTGCTATCTGATCCCACTCACCCGATGGTGATTCGTTGACAGCTCAGCTCCTCACATGAGTGTTAAAACATACAGCTGGTCTGATGATATGCCGAAAGAAGCAGACATCAGCTGCCATAATTCCACTGAACCTTCCGCATTTATACCTATGCACAAGAGCTTGTACCGTGAGTTGAGCTGACTCCAAATATATCTTGATGGTACCTCTCTACCTCCCGCACTAGCTCAGGCTCCTTTCCCACCAGAGAGGTTACATTCCATGTTCCTGAAACCAGATTCAGTAACCCGGGATTGGTCCACCAAGGCCCCTGTCTTTAACTGCCATCCAATCTATAATGACCCAATCCCCATAGGTGCAGGTGGTGGGGAAATAGGAGGGTGGACTCATGTAACTCTTTCTGGCTTTGCTCAGCCGGACCCCACGGGTGGAGGCCTGACCACCAGGAGCTCCCCCGAGGCCAGGCTCCCTATTCCTCCCTACTCCTGGCCAGGTTACATGGGCCTTTTTCATAGGAATCTTCTGAAAATAGCATCCACACAATTATTTAAAAGTCTAAGAACAAGAGGTCTCACCTAAAAGTTGTGTTCCAGTGCTGGAACCCCCTCGTCCCGTCTCCAAAGCATTTACACGCGAGCGAATGTTCTCCACTGTACTTCGCAGAGTCTCCACCTCGTCCTGAACTAACCGCAGTGAATTCAGGTCCAGCTCTATCTCCAGTACCTTCTCGGAATGTGAACTCATTACCTTCTGAATAGACAGAAATAGATAAGTGTCACCTACCCTGGTCCATAAACTATGAAATTATTTCCTTCTGTTTATTCCATATATTTATGACATAAGATGCTCTGCTAAAAGAAATACTCCAGTGGACTGGGAAAAATTGGACAAATTTTACAAAAAATTACTGACCTGCATGCCAGACAGTTTCTGCTCCACCTGTCTGGTCTTCTCCCGCATGTCCTCATGAAGGGATTCCATTTCCAGAAGCCGTGAATTCATACTTGGTAGGACTTTATATCGTTCCTGGAGCTCTCCTTTTATGTCCTCTACCTAATCAAGTGGGGATTAAGACAACAGGAGCAAACAAGTAACTATATGTATGATTACACTATAGACATAAATATATTCCTAAAAATTCTGACTATCAGACCTGAATGTTTCTATATATTATAATTTACATGGAACAACTCATCATAAATTAAGTATATAAAAACAGTCAAAATTCATCAAGAGTCAATAAGACTGAATGAACTATGGCAGCACAATAAAAAGACGTAAGGTACAAGATATGGGTAAGGAACTAAGACTAATGGTACTACCATTTGGCGCAACTGGTATTTATATTCAGTGTTAGGGTGACAGCACAGATCGTTCTATATTCAGAATCATGGTCTGTCCAGCACTTACAGCTATAAAAGAACCTTCTGAATTCTAAAAGGAAACATTGGCTCTTGGTGTTTCATATGTATTCTTACATCTTTCATTAAGGACAGGGCCCATAATTACCAGGCAGATGGAGAATTTCATGTGGTCCTTATTTACTAAACTCAATAACACCTGGATGAGGTACCTTTAACATATGCAATCAAAAACATTTTCAGTCATGTCAGACTTCCCTGCTCTGGTACTACTGCAGAAAACACAACAGCTCAGTCTTATTAATTATCTCTTTTAGGGGACAATAATGTTAAGTATAACATATTTCTATACAAAATATGGTAAGAGGTTGTACAATTCATACAGTACAGTAAAAGATGATTGAGTTTAAATTGTATATAGAGTAGTTGAAATGAGCGACGAGCCAAAAGAGTTTTATCAACTTGGCCAGACAATTTTGTGACTTTCCAATTTTATTCTTGGATTAATGAAACACACTGAGTTACAGGTGAAATGTTTCTTCTAGAACGCTGGAATGATTACTTTTGCCTCAAGAGTTGCATTTTTGGTTGCCATCAGTAGGAGATGTTCTGATACGAAGCTGGAATCATGGTCTTTCATCTCCTGGTTGAAACCCTAAAAAAAGACCAAAAACAGTAATTAGTCTTTTGTTAATCATACAATTAGAGTACACTATAATCAAGTGCCTATGACCCAGAATAGGACAAACGATTACAAAAAATGGATGGATGGATATAATCAAGCATTAAAATATAGTTTTACATTATTATTATTGTTATTGCTGTTGCTGTTGAAGATGATGATGATGATGATATAATAATAATAATAATAATAATAATAATAAAACAACAAAGTAAAAAAAATCTTGCCTTAAATGTGCATCCAAAGCGATTAAAGGCACAGGAAACCTGTGCCTTTGGACATTCATGTTGGTGGCTGGAGAGCTGGAGGGAATTCAACTGTAGTAAACTTTTCTTTTTAATTCAAGGTTATGTGTTAAAACTGTATGTGAATTCAATACTTTTTAAATACACAGTTTTGACTGGTGATAATAAAATAATTCGTCAGTCCCAAAAGGAACAAATACAGACAATAAGAAGTAGATTAAACTCATCATTAACTGACAGTACCTATTAATACTACTCCAGTGAGAACTGAAGTCTGGTGTCTCATTTCAATATTGCCACCAAAAGGAGAGGTTAAATGATATTTCTGTCCATAGATTTAATAAAATATTTGCTATGGTAATTTACTGCTTTCACAATCATACAGTGTTTCATTTTGTAACACTCATAGGCAACTGTAACAATTCAATTAATATATTAAAATGCATACCTCACTCCGTAGTATAGAAGAAGCACAATTATTGGGGCAATGTACTGGAAATGCAGGACAAACAGTTTCTTTGTGTTTCTATAAAAAAGGCAGTATTGATTTGGTAACAGGTATAAAAGATTTAGCAAGGGTATTTATACTTTGTAGCTCAACAGAAGAGAAGTGTGTAACTGTAAAGTTGCATGTTTATTAATTTGTTCTTTGATTATTATTCAAAACTGTGTAGTGAAACATGGGATTTGGATTTTTAATAATGACTTTGGATATTTGGAATATTACAGTATTGGAATATTGGAGTATTAGAGGTTTTTACTAATGGAACATCTTTCTTCTTAATACATACTTGGATACTAACAGTTGAGCTAGACCTATGTTGGAATTAGCTACCTCTATTTCTGTTAGAGCCATCTTGTGTTTGCAGAATTCACAAGTAGACTCTCTGTATTTACACTTTCTGGCCAGGTGCTCAGGCATGTCCTTGCGCATCATTTGCTCTTTACATTTTCCCAAAGGACAGGGGACCTCAAAATATGGACATACATTCAGATGATCCTGAAAGAGAGAAAACATTGTTTTGTAAGTATTTGTTGGTTATTGCTAATGATGTAGTCGATCCCACCTAAACTGAGACCAAGTCATTAGACGAGAGTGCATCAAGACCAAGGCAAGACCAAGACCAAAGGGTGAGACCAAGACAAGATCAAGACCAAGGCAGGGCAAGAATGACACAAACCCAAGCCGTTTTTTCCCTAAAATTTCAATATAATTGCTTCTGTACAAATGTAACATTTTTCAAATAAGACACACCTTATTGGCTGCAGGACATTTTACACCAATCACAGCACTGTTAACCCTTTGAACCCTATCCATTTTTTAGCATTTTTCTATCCCTTTGTTTTTAGGTTTATTACATGGTAGGTACATGGGTTAGCCACAAATGTTTTCAGGACATTCTGGGCTACTCAGATATGTCATAATTTGATGTGTTAATGTTGACACAGTCTTGATATCATCCTTATGAGGAAAAACTAGCACCTACTAAAGCATTTACTAGCACCTATTAAAATTTCTCAATTTTTTGTCTCCTCGAATATAAAAATTTGCAGGCATTACAAATATAATTGTATAAATGCTGAGATTATAGTCTCCTCTGATATGGGAATGCAGGGTTTTCACTGGGGACCATTTTATGGTTTACTATTGTGAAGGAATACATGGTTAGTGACAGGCAGAAATTAATATCTTTGATTTTGCATCCATTTGGTAACTTGTTGAAGCTGTCTGGCAGACAGCAATGCATGGCTTTATATTTTTATATTTTTATTTATTACTTAAAAACATCTGAAAGAAATTGAAATAGAAATGCATTATTTAACGTATGATCCACTGGATAACAGACAGAACAGACGGTTTTAGAGTCTAATGCTGAATGCTTATTGCTATCATTTTTTTCACCTATATACACTATGATTGGTAAACAGAAATTTGAGAAGGAAACTTTTAGTCGGCATTTTAGCCTCAAACATTAAACCAACGCTGTAGCACGTCATTGTGTTTACATGTAGGAAGTGTTCCAATTTCGCGTTCTATTTAAACTGTTTTGACGGAGCTCGACATTAAACATACTGTACATATACAAACTTTTGGGAATGAATATTGTGAAAATATCAAGTAATTGTCTTCCTAATAACTGGAATGCTGTATTCCATTGTTATTGCTAGTAGAACTCCAGCCCATTTTTGAGTCTTTTTGTCTCCCTTTACTTATAGGCTTATAATAAACAAATTCTAAAATAAATATATTTTTTTTTCCCAGAAGGGTAGTGCATGTATCATTGCGGAGGCGAATATGTGCTTTGTTTTCCGTCTAATGAGAATAATATTGATGCTTTATGGATTATTTGGGGTGCTTTTTCATGGAAAATGTTTAAAATATATGCCTCATTGTGCACATGATTATTTTGGAATATTTTGGTGCACAATGTTGCAACCTGGATGACCAGATCGAATAAGTTCTCTCGATTGTAAAGATAAGTGATTCATGTCTATGTGTTAAATATATCCAAAAAGGCTCCGAAAATCAACACATTTTGCATTTTTTGTTCTCTCAGAATTGCATTTCTGGTTGCCATCAGTAACCATTCTGAGACAAGACCAAGACTGCAAAAAAGTGTTCTCAAGACCGGTTTCGAGTACTACAGCACTAGTTATAGCAGGAAGTATTGCCACCAGGAGCTCAAAATTCCAAATAAAAAAGCATGTTTTAAAAAATGCTCTTGATTTCTTTTCAGAAAAAGGTTAAGCACTTGAGTGTCTCTTAATATTTGCTTAATTACTGAGCAACACTGATAACAATATTTCAAAAGGTTCCATAAATAATGAATTAACTTGTACACATGTAGTCATGTAGGTGTTTCCCCAAAATTACCATTGAGTCACGATTTTTGAAAAATCAGCTTTTTGAATAATTATATGAATGTCAACATGTTGTGCGTAGTACAAAAAAAAACTGCATATTAAAGAGATGGTCAATGTCTGGAAAACGTATGCTTTTGTTTCTTTAAATAGTTGTGCATATGAAGAGATATTAAAATAGCAGCAGGAATAAGATACCATGCTAGATCAGGGACAGCGCAATTACTGTAGGTGGTTATAAAATGCGAGCACTTTTGTTCCTTTCATGATTTCATTGTATAAAGTATAAGATTGTTTACAATTTCTTTATTTCTGATTTCTTTGAGATTCAGTTTAGGGTCTTGAGCCAAACAATACATCCTCAGATAATAAGAGAAGACACCTATTAACAGATGAGAAGCCTTCAAGCCAGTTCTGCAGAAATAAACCAAAAGAGGATGTGTTTTGTTGTGTTGATAGAAAAGCTAATATACTGATCTCTTGAAAACATGCCGATATCTCAGTTGTTGATGGAATGATGGGACTTTTATGACAAAGAAACACCACAACAGAATTTAGGTACAGGCATTTCCGCCAATGCGTCAATTTTTTTTCCTGTAAAGCAATGAAAATAATAGGACTTATCAGGCAGACAAATTAAGACCTATTCCTAATACAACCCCAAATCAGAAAAAGTTGGGACGGTATGGAAAACGCAAATAAAAAAAGAAAGTAGTGATTCCTAAATTTACTTTGACTTGTATTTCATTTTGCAGACAATATGAACACAAAATATTTCATGTTTTGTCTGGTCAACTTCATTTCATTTGTAAATATGCATCCTTTCCTGCCATTCAGACCTGCAACACATTCCAAAAAAGGTTGGGACAGGAGCAATTTAGGGCTAGTAATGAGGTAAATTGGTTAAATAATGATGTGATTTGAAACCGGTGATGTCAACAGGTGATTGTAATTATGATTTAGTACAAAAGCAGCATCCAAGAAAGGTCTAGTCCTTTAGGAGCAAAATGGGCCGAGGATCGCCAGTTTGCCAACAAATACGTAAGAAAATTATTGAAATGTTTAAAAACAATGTTCCTCAAAGAAAGATAGGAATAGATTTGGATATTTCAGCTTCAACAGTGCATAACATAATTAAAAGATTCAAGGAATCTGGAGGAATTTCAGTGCGTAAAAGACAAGGGCGCAAGCCTAAGTTGAACAACCGTGATCTCCAATCCCTCAGGCGGCACTGCATCAAGAATTGTCATTCATCTATAAGCGATATGACCATATGGGCTCAGAACTACTTTGGCAAACCTTTGTCAAGTACCACAATACATAGTTACATCCACAAATGCCAGTTAAAACTGTACTGTGCGGAAAGGAAGCCCTATGTTAACAGTGTTCAGAAGCGCTGTCGACTTCTCTGGGCTCGGGGCATCTAGGATGGACCATCACACAGTGGAAACGTGTACTGTGGTCATATGAATCAGTATTTCAGGTATTTTTTGGAAGAAATGGACGTCGTATGCTTCGGACCAAAGAAGAAAAGGATCATCCAGACTGTTACCAGCAACAAGTCCAAAAGCCAGGGTCTGTCATGGTATGGGGTTGTGTCAGTGCCCTTGGCAAAGGTAACTTGCACTTCTGTGATGGCACTATTAATGCTGAAAAGTACATAGAGATCTTGGAGCACAATATGCTGCCTTCAAGAAGACATCTTTTCCAGGGACGCCCATGCATATTTCAACAAAACAATGCAAAACCAAATTCTGCACACATTACAAAGTCCTGGCTGCGGAGGAAGAGGGTACAGGTACTTGACTGGCCTGCCTGCAGTCCCGACCTGTCTCCAATAGAGAATGTGTGGCACATTTTGAAGTGCAAAATGCGACAACGAAGACCCCGTACTGTTGCCCACCTTAAGACTTGTTTGCAGGAAGAATGGGACAAAATTACACCTGAAACATTTCATCACTTTGTGTCTTCAGTCCCTAAACATCTTTTAAGTGTTGTGAAAAGGAATGGCAACATTACAAAGTGGTAAATGCTTTACTGTTCCAACTTTTTTTGAAATGTGTTTCAAGAACCAAAATTGGAATATGTGTTTATTTTGAGAAAAACAATAAAATTCATGAGGAACACATAAATAATGTGCTGTTGTAATGTTTTCAATGTAATACAGGTCAAAGATAATTTAACAAAGTACTGTTTTCAGTTTGATTTTAATTTAACATACCATCCCAACTTTTTCTGATTTGGGGTTGTAATTAACCATTATGCTTGTTAAATTCAGAATGCTTTGAAAGATCAAACTTTTCTTTGAATGTTAAAAGCTCACTTTCAGGTTCAACAAAAAAACAAGTTTCAGCTTAACAAAACCAAACAAAGCAATCTGAGATTAATATCACAATGCTGACTATCAGCAATTTCTAATGAGCCAGGTTTTCATGCTGGTTTCTGGTTCCTACCCATTAATATTTAAGGGTGTGCATATAAGTGTGCCATGTAACAATCAGCCAATCGTGCAAGTATGGATCGCAACAGGGCTACTGGAGTACATATTTCACTGCAGTGTAATTAAGGAAAAATATGAAAAAAAATCAAAAGCACAATAAAGGTGAAGAGTGAGACCGCGAAATCATGCATAAGCCAACAAGAGATTCGCACACATGGGGGGTAGCATGTGGCTCAGTGGACTAAGCCTGTAATCTGAACGTTGCCAGTTCAAGCTTGGCATTGGCACATAGGAACATAAGAACTATGAGATGAGAGGAGGCCATTCGGCCCATCGAGCTCACTTGGGGAGAACTTAACTAATAGCTCAGAGTTGTTAAAATCTTATCTAGCTCTGATTTAAAGGAACCCAAGGATTCAGCTTGCACTATGTTATCAGGAAGACTATTCCATAT